CTTTGCAATGACTTGACACATGATTGGAGGGGAAATTGCATGCAGAATTTCACGGCACTTTTTTCTCTCCAGAACCCTGGCCTCCCAAGCCCCATCTAACTTCGTTGCTCTCTTGTGTCCTCTAATTTTTTTTCCTGCTTTGTAGCTGTTCTGAGCTACTAGTTCAGTCTGAATCAGCTACTCCACCATATCCAGAAATGGAAGTCCCCCTTCAGTTTTAATTTTGGAAACATAAAATTAACTGACATTTAAAATTTTATGAAATGGTTTGGGCATACTAAAAGGTGTATCGAATAATATAATCAACACCCAGGGTAACTTCGGTCAGTTTCACCCAAGTGTGGAGACCCCTGACCACTCCCCCAATCCCATTCCCCTCCTTTTCTACTCTATTCAAAATTTTGATTTTTTTTTTCCTATCGTCCTTTTCAATTTCTGTATACTTCCAGGACACACATATGTTCATCTAAACAATATAGAGAGCTGTTTCACCCAGTGTTCAATGTGCCATAGATGGTATTACTATGCGTGTGTTCTTTTATTTTATTTTCACTATGCATTTTGTCGCGAGAGTCATTTGCTTGGCTGTGTGAAACCGTGATTCATTCTCACATGGTGTGATTATCCCCCAGTCGATCTTTCTGTTCTCTTGTTGATGGATACTTAGGTTGTTTCCACTTATCACTGTCAAGATCAACACTGCTACAAACATTTCTGCGTGTGCTTCTTGAACACACATGCCAGGGTTTCATCAGTGGTTTACATAGGAGTGAAATGGCTGGGTCTTAATGAAGGCACCTGCTCACACTTATCACACCGTGCCACACGGTTTTCCAGCCCACTCATTTCCATTCCCACCAGCCGTGAACGAGAGCGCCCATTACACCATGTCCTCAGCAACACGCGATGTTGTCAGACTTTTAGTTTTTGCCCATCGTGTAGAATTAAAATGGCAAGTCATTGTGGTTTTAATTTGCATTTCTTCATCGGCTGTGAATTAAGCACTTGGTGTTCTCCTCCAGCTCCTACTTCAATCTGACTTCCTACCCCCAAGCTCCTTCACTTCCCTCGAATCTCCTGAATTGCGGCTTTCCATCTGAACTACCACGACCTGTGAAATCTCTCCTTGGCACTGGAGCCTGGCAGAGAAACACCTCTCCCCCAGCTCCATTCCTGTGCAAGACTGTGCTGGACTACTTCGCAAGCAATGATGTATTTGGTGCTTCCAACAAATCCGCAGCAGAGTCATGAGCCCCATGGTATAGATGAGACCACAGAGAACCAGAGGGATTAGGAACTTGCCCGAGGACACACAGCTGGGACCCGGCAGATTCTAAGCCGGGGGCTCTTGACTCCTCTGGAGGAGACCACAGAGCTAGGGGCTGCCACAGGGGACCCCGTAGCAGGAAGGTCTTTAGGATACCCTCTGCCCTTCCCGCAGATAGCATACCTGGTGGTTTGGTGTGCACCTGGGGAGAAAGGGCTGTTGCCTTCAGGAGTCAGCCTCCATGTGAAGACCCACAAAGGGACAGATGCGGGGCTGGGAAAGCGATGGGATGGGATTTCCGGCTCGGTGACTTTACCATTCAAGGCTGCTCTTCCCAGAATTGAGCGGCTTGTTTTAGACAGTGTTCGATATCTCTGGACCCCAAAGAGTTAGATCCTTTTCAATCTTCTTCCAGTCCTCTGATGCCAGAGAGAATCTCGGTTTGGTGCTAGTTTTCCTCAAACAACCCTTTAATCCCCCTTTTAAATGGATGCAAACTGGATTTCCCAACTTCTCAGTTTCAAGTGGGAGAGAGCATCTCACTCAGACTTGAATATGGCCTTTTGTTTGCCTCCTAGTTTTACAGTTAATCGACCATTTCATTTAAGAAACACAGTATCTATAATCACGTTGGGCGTTGTTCCCAATGCTTTACAAATACTGGCTAATTTACTTCTCCCAAGGACCCCCCCCCCAAGGTGGGCACTGTTACTAGTATGTCCATTTTACAGATGAGGACTCTGAGGCCCAGAAAGGTTAAGTAAACTTCACTGACGTCACACAGCCTGTGAATGGCAGCGCTGGGATTTGAGCTGAAGCAGACTGGCCTGGAGTCTGCCTTTTAACCACTGAAATGCATACAATCTCCCCATTTCATACTAGTTTCCTGTTGATTGTAGGGATATATTTTCTTTTGAGACATGTTTATTGGAGTAAACAGGGAAGGCAAGGTAAAGATAAATAGCAAGTAGATGATAGCATCAGTGAAAACCTTGAAGGCAGTAAGTGGCCGGAGTTCTGGAACATTCCAAAGTGGCTTCATGGATGGAAGGATAGAGCAAAGGGGCCATGAAGACTGGGTTTAGAGGGATGGGGGGGAAGGTATTCAAGGAGAAGACTCAGCACAGGAATTTGCCTCATGCAAAGGCAGAGACGCATGACAGGGCCTCAGGTGCTAGGGGGAGGCTGAATAATTCAGAACAGCTGGCCAGTAACAACAAGAACCCAGCATCCTTGTCTAGCACTTTCCAGTTCACAGAGCACAGTCACATCTGCTTTCCACTGACCCTTCTTAACTGCCAGGTGCAGTGGGCATGATTGTCCCCATTTTAGAGATGATAACCAAAGTCAGAGAGAAGAAATTCCAGAAAACAAATTTGCTATTTTTTGCTCCAAGCTACTCTGACTTCCAATTCTGGGCCTCTTGCTCTATTCCACTGTATCAGGTAACTTTGGTGGCAAGCAACAGAAACATAATTCACATGGTTGACCAAAATAGGGCGGGTGGTGTTTTTGGGGGGGAATGTGAGGGCTTAGGTGAACGAAAAGTCCAAGTGTGGACATCAGGTACGGCTGGATCCAGGTCCTCAAATAATGCCATGGGGACTCTGGGTCTGTATTTCTCAGGTTTTGAGAAAAGTTCAGGCAAGCTGTCCCTAAGAAGTGACAAGGATGGCCACCAGCTTCTAGCAGGCAGCCAAAAAAAATACCCCTTTACTGGAGTTCTAGGAAAATGCCCAGACTGCTCTCATTCACCTTGCTTGGGTTGGTGTCCATCCCTGATCTATTCAGTGTGGCCAGGCAGGTGGGGAGCTGTCTTGGCTAGGTCTGGGTCAGGTGCTCACCTGAAAATCAGGGGTTCCAGTCCTCTCCACGCAGACCACACAGGGACAGCGCCAGTCTGAGAAGCTCTTCCCAAGAGAGGAAGAGATGTCAGGCAGACAGAAACAGCAGGCCCATCCCCTCTATCCCCAGGCACCTGTGTGTCATATGTGCTGAGCTGAGGAATTTGGACGGATGGAGAGCCTTGAATCTGGGCAAGGGAGTTGGTGCTTTATCTTATGGTCCAGATAGAGCCTCTGGGGAGTGACACAGACAGAGCTATGCCAGGCCTGGTGCTGGGGCGGGGATCAGAGTGTGGACCTGCCCATTGAGGGGCAGATATGAACCGCACCTCCCATGATGGGAGATGAATCCTCGAAGGGTGGTAACAGGACTCCTGCAGGGCTTGGCCAGGAAGATCAGTGTTCCTAAAGCAGATTTAAAAAACTGTTGCTCCAACATTATTTTATTTTAATGGCGATGTTATTCATTCCAACGTGTACTGGGGAAAAATATGCAGCTATGAATATTATTGCTTAGGATGATGCTGGAGTTGGATTTTTTTAAATGAGCTCATTTATGAAAATGTTAAATAAATGATTGCACACACACTCTATAAATATGGCCAAAGTTTTGAAAGTGAGAAATTTAGGGACCTCTTGTCTAGATCATTCTGGGGCCCCTCTACATCTGATGCTTTAAATTGTCTGTCAGCCACAGCCTTTTGTTGAGTGTTTATGTGTCAAGCGCCATGCCCAGGGTTTTCTGCAAAATGCTTCCTCGAATTCTCACAAGAATCTGCAGGGCTCAGAGAGGGGAAGTGACTGGCCCAGAGCAACACAGCTGGTGATCTGACCTCTCAGTGTGTTTTGCCACTGTTTGCTGGGTGACTTATTAGGGAGCTCAGAGGGAGGGCTCAGTGGGGCCAGAGTAGGTTCTGGGGAAACCTGGGGTGGGGGGTCTTCCCCTTGTGGGCTCAGGGATGGTGTCTGGAAGAAGCCATGCCTGCAACTTGATTCCTGCATGGGGCGTCCCTCTTGCTCCAGTTCCGATTATGATCCTGCAACCGGGGGCCAGTCTGGGTGGGGTTTCTAGGCCTGGGCAGGTGGATGCCCCACCCCCTGGCCTCTGGCTGGTGCCTCCCCAAGCAGGCACAGAACTGTGGTTCAGTAGGTGTTGCCAGCCTTGGGGGTGGGGGTGGTCACTCCTTTGCCCAAGACACAAGCGTCTGCTCCTCCTGGGTAGACCCCTGACATTCTCCAAAGAGGGCTCTCCTGCATCTCATCCAGATCAGGGAGTCAAGCTCACCTCCACAGGGACCGGCCTGGGTTCCCCGGATGCTTTCCAGTGTGCTCGCTAACCTGGGCTCTGTGACGGAGCAAGGAGCCTGGTTATTGGGCTAAGCTCATTTTAGGCATTCAGTAGGAGTCTTCTTTGTGGGCCAACCTTGGATCTGTTATTCAGTAAGAAGCAGGGCTAACGTCAACCCATGTGTTTTGTGGAAAGGACACAGGATCTCTGCTTGTCAAATACCACTTTCTAACCAACTTCCCCTCCCTGCCTCCCTGCCTCTCTCTTTTTCAGATAAGTAAATGCCCTCGTTTAATCTCCTGCATAAGGTTATATCCGTAGGCTCCCAGGGGTGGGAGAACATCTAGCTCCTCCCTCTTGAAATTCACCTCTCATTCGGGACTGTGTTAGGGGACAGGAAGAAGGTGGGAGAAATGGGGTTCCCAGGGGTGAGTCATCTGCTTCTAAGGGGCAGGAATCTTTGGGAACATCCACGGGCTCCTCCAACTCTTTGTTTTTCCGAGGCAAGACTTCCAAGGGAGGGAGAGGACCAGAGGGAGGCTGTTCAGGATCCCTTAGTCCCCAGGCCTAGGTCTGCCCGCTCACTGTCAGTCTCTTCCAGGATCCCGAGAGCCAGCATGCCTTGTGGCTCGGCGGCCACTGTGCTCCTGCTCCTGCTTCTGCTCCATGGTGGTGAGTAGCTGCCCCAGAGTGTGCGGGTGGGGATGGCCAGGCTGGCCTGTGTTGCCCCAAGACATGGCTAGAAGCTATAGGCCGGGGCATGTGGCCTCTGTTCACTTGGGGTGGACTAGCCAGCTCTCTATCAGTTAGAACCCGTCCCACCAGAGTGCCCCGTGGCTCATATGACTCCCACGTGGACCAGGCCACCCACTGTCTTCTTATCTCATTGCAGGCACGAGAAACTTGAGTCTCCCATTTCCACAGCTCTCTGCCTTGGCTGGCCCTCCACCCTCAGAGGGAGGAAGTCCTGCCTTTGGTCTGACCTCAATTTCTCTTCCTGCAATGACTCTCCTAGCAGATGTTTATGGACAATCACAGAATCAGCAGGTCCTGGTGGTCCCTGGCAGGGAGAGGAGAGGGACGTGGAGACAGAAGTAGCCAAACCTTGAAAGGTGCCCCCAGGGGACCAGAAGGTGTTGGAGTCAGAGAGAGAGAAAAGTTAGAGACCGGAGCTGGGAAAGGCCAGGAGTTAGATGTGGGCTCAGAAATCCGGGAGGCCTTCCCAGAGGAGGCAGGATGGAGCCTCTAGGCTCAAATGGGGGTTGGACTAGAGACAGGGGTCCGTCAGCCACGGCTCTGCTGAATCTGCTTTTCTCTCTGGTTTTTACCGAAAGACCCAGAGCCTCAAATAGCTTCTCCAGGAAACAGATGTCTGGCTCTTTTATTTTCCCCTTCTGAGTGACCAGCACTCTGTCCTGGGTCATCTGCCACGGTGCCATGCCTCGTGGGCACAAACTTCTGCTGCGTCCTGGGTGCCAGGCTTCACCTCAGTCTGCTCCCCCAATGACCCTATGCAGTCTGTGCGGCAGTGACGCCCGGGTCTCCCTTGAGGACACTGAGGCTCAGGGAAGTTAAGGGATAGGCCCACGGCCACACAGCTAGGCAGTGGCGGAACTGGAGCCCCAAATTTGCCTCCTTCCTGGAGACTGAGCTGCCTTGCTCTGATGCTTTTACTGAGTGGGTGCCCGGTGCCAGCCACGTGGTCCACACCGGCATGAGGTCACTTACATATCCACCATGCCCTCCAAGGAGCTAGTGTCCCCAGGTTTCGGGGGCTGCTATCCCCTCTCCAATGTTCCATTTCAAGATTGGGGCCAGTCTTGTCAGGCCCTTGACCTAGGTACGGCAGCTCCTCCCCCAAGTTCTAAATCCCTGAGCTTGAACAACCAGGGTATAAACTGGGGGAATACCTAACCACATATGGCCCCACAGCCCTGGGTTTAGGCCCCACCAAAATCAGGCCTCTTTTCTCCACCAAGTGTCTGCACGGGCCTCCTGTGCCCACCAACAGGCACTGTGCTCCCGCCTAGGGAAGGCTCCTCCCAGCACAGGAGGAGCCACAACTCAGATCCCTTGGTGGTGGTTGCAGGGAGACCTGTGTTAAGGAGGATTCTGAGGGTCGCCCGAGGGAGAGAGTGCCGTGATGGATTAGTGATGTCTGCTGTGCACGCACAGCGTAGCACAGATGAGATTTTTCTTTCCTGGGTGCAAGTCTCAGCCACCCAGACCCAGACGGACAGGGCGCGTGGTCCCATCTCAGAGCCTCTGGGTCCTTGTCTATAAAATGGCAGGGGCAGCCAGCTAAGGATGCTTCCAGCAATGGTCTTCTTGGCTCCGAATCCGGCTTCTGACCTAAAGTGAGGACCAGGCAGGAAACATACCACCACCCCTCAGTTCTTCATTAGTCAAGGAAAAATAGAACAAAGCCACTAAGAATGCATCCACTTAAAAAGGGGAACAAATTTCTGGTAAAGAGTTGGGAGGGTGGGCGGGGGAGAAAGCACGTTGGTACTTGATCTTACAGAACAAAACCAAGTTCCAGTTTACTACATTTATTTTGTTGCAAATTTAGAGTATGGTTGCATCTGTATTTTTAGAACAAAGGGGAGCAATTAATGTTGGGGGTGGGAGGGCACAGGGTCTCCCGATGGAACCGCCTGGGTGAGCAGTCCCCGTGTCACTTGGCTGGGACGGTGATGGTTTGGGCAGTAGGCTAATAAGGACATTTTGGCAAAATGGGGTGGAGGGGAGGGAGAGTGGTGAGAGGTGGGGACCGGCTTAGTTCGCCATGTTTGACATTCAGAGCGATCTGTCTGCATAGCCAGCCTTGAAACTCGGGGGTCAGGTGGCAGGAACCCCCTTCCCCAAACCCACATCTTAGTGGCCTCATGAGTTGCCATATTCATCCTGGCCCTGGGGACCCATGCATCAACTCATCCTCCAGCCCTTGAAGAGGTGAAGGGGTGAGGCATTGTGCAAACTCCAGCCAGCCCCCCACCACCCCTGCTCCATCGCAGCCTCTCTCTCCCCTAATCTTCCAGCCTGGGGTTGCCTAGATCTCGTCTGCTACACGGATTACTTACAAACAGTCACCTGCACCCTGGAAACCAGGACCCTCCCCCACGGTGTGCTCACCCTCACCTGGTAAGTGGTAGCCACTGGAGGGCTGGGGTGAAGCAGGACCGCTGGGGACCATAGACCAAGGGGGACCTACTATGGGTCCCACGGATAGTTCAGCGATCGACACAATAGGTCCGCTTCCTGAGGGCTCTCTCAGCAAGTTCACCAACAGTATTTGGTTTTGCCCCAGGAAAGATGGTTCGTTAGTGGGGAGCTGCCTGGGCCCCCTTGCAGATGGCTGTGCCGGCTCACAGCTCCTGTCCGGAGCTCTGTCCACCTCCAAAGGCCATACTCTCTTGCCCACCCAGCCCCAAAAGTGGGCTTTTTTTTTTTTTAAGGATTTATTTATTCATTTTAGAGAGGAGGGGAGAGAGGGGCAGAGGGAGAGAACCCCAAGCCAACTCTGAGCTAAGCACGGAGCCCAACACGGGGCTCGATCCAACGACCCCAAGACCATGACCTGAGCCGAAACTGAGAGTCGGCCGCTCAGCCGACTGAGCCACCCAGGCACCCCCAGCCCTAACAGGTTTTGAGACCTGAGGACCGACCAGACTCCCACTCGACTTTTATGAGCACTTCGTACATCCCTGACGCCCTGCCGTGAGCTTCCTATGAACAAATGATCGCTTCCCATCCTCATAATTATAACTCCTGTTTTACAAATGAGGACACTGGGGTTCAAAGAGGTTATACAACTCGCCCCAGGTCACATAGCCAGTGAGTAGTGGAGCTGGGATTCAGACAAGACTGATTCCAAAGTCCACGGACCCCTGTTCGTTCACAAGTGTTAAAGAACAGTGAGGGGAAGCTTGACTCAGGACCCCTGCCAGAGACACAGGGACCCTGGTGGGACTTTGCAGTGGGGGGAGAGATTGGGGTCAACCCCAAATACAAGGAAAAGGGGGGATTTAGAGTCAAGGAGCAGGGTGGGGCCAGTGGGTGGAAAATTACCAAAAGGACACGTCAAGGGGAAGGGGGAGTGGTTCCGGCTACATGACATCATAGGGTTCTTGCTGATGGCAGCCCAGGCTGGTCAGACGTCACCTGGAGAAGGAGGTAGAGGACAGAAGAGATGACACAGAAGCCCAAAGGTCAGGGCCTCGTCAAGGAGAGTGCTCAGAGGAGCCCAAGTAGGACTTGTTCAAGGAGAGAATTTTTGTTCCTAAACTGCTGGGATTAAGAAAAGCTGGCTTTCATCCAGAACACATTTATGGACCTCCTGCTGACACTTGCAGGCACTAGGAGCTCAGCAGAGCCCAAGACCAAGGAGGTTCTCCCAGAAGTTCTGCAGAGGGGAGTGCCTGGGGAGACAGACAATAAGACAGACACACGCAGCCATCAGGATGCTTTTTGATGACAATTAGTGCTACAAAGAACAGGAACCGGGTCCAAGGGGTCCAGAGGGAGTGACATGGGAGCAGGTGGTCAGGAGAGGCCTCTCTGGATGGGAAGGAGGCAGCCAGTGAGCTGGAGATGGAGCATTCCAGGCAGAGGGCATTGCCTGTGCAAAGGCCCTGAGGTGGAGAAGAGCTGGTGAGTTTGAGGAATAGTGAAGAAGTCAGTGGGGCCAGAGGCGACTGCATCATTGTGAGGGAGAATAACAAGCTAAGAAGGTGAGAGGGAGGTCGAGGCCAGATTGCCCTGAATGGGTGGTGAGAAGTCACTGGAGGGTTTTTTAGGCATGGAAGTGATGGGGAGTTTTTAAAGGCCCCTGCCAGCTTCCATGCAAAATTGCACTGAGCTTCTATTCTAACAGATATTTAGCAGAAAACAGAGTCTACACATCTGTATTGGCCTTGAAGGATAGTCATGTTCACAACCTGAAGGTGTTTGTAGGGAAATGAATAGCTGTCAAACTCCTATACATACTTCAAAACCCATCACTTAATGCCTAGTGGGAGTAAAGAGGCCAGAGCAGTGCTTCCAACCCCATACCAACAGCCTCTCTTTTCAGCCAGAGCGAGGATGAGGTTCTTTTACCTTGGCCTTTCGCCCTGGTACTCCCTGGGTATTCCTTGGCTGCTGGACGGAAAGAGGGCAAGAAGGGAACCTGAGGTGCTTAGCATCCTTCCTAAGGGACCGGGGTCCAGCTGATGGGATTGACAGGGACAGACTGATGCTCAGTCTAGGCAAGAATGGCCTAGCTGAGAATTCCAAAGTTGAAAGTCGCTGCCCTATGTAAGGTGGTGAGTTCCTGGTTCCTTGGAGGCGCACAAGTCAAGCCCAGACATAACCCGTTAGGAATGCTTCAGGGGAGGGAACACCTTCCCTGGGAAATTGTTGGTGGACCGTGACTTCCCCGCAGCCTCACCTCAAATCCCCCCCAGCCCTGAGCTTCTGGCTGTGTGCAGGGAGCCCCACCGGCCTCCAGGCATGACTGGGTGCTCTCTCCTTGAAGGCAAGACCCATACGGAGACCTGGAGGATGAGGTCACCTCCTGCAGCCTCCTCCGGTCCGCCCACAACGCCACGCATGCCAAGTACACGTGCCATATGGATGTGTTTCACTTCATGGCCGACGACATTTTCAGTGTCAATGTCACAGACCAGTCCGGAAGTTACTCCCAGGAGTGCGGCAGCTTCCTCCTGGCTAAGAGCAGTGAGTATCCCCGGGACCTTGGAACAGAGGGGAGCCCAGGCCGGTGCTGAGCCCTACGCCCTGTGGGCCGGCTCGCCCCCACGTCAAAACGGACCTGCCCTAGGTGCTCATTTCTCCTGAGAGTGCGTACTGTAGAAGCACGACTGAGGTGTGATGGCTTCATACCTAGGTTTGGGCCTTTAACCAAGGAGAGGCAGCAGAGGCCGGCAACAGAGCTGGACCAGGGCCCAGGACTTGCCCATCTGTGACCCCGGACTGGCTCACTGTAGACTGATGGCCTTCTGCCCCCATTTTGAGGCAAAGCAGGGGAGGCCATGTCCCAGGAGAATAACTTCCCTGAGACTTCTCCCGTTTATTTGCTCCACTGAGGCCCAGACTTTCCCTCCAGCCTGGAGGAAGGGAGGCGGCCTGGCTGGGTCCAGGACCAGGGCAGGGCTGGGAAGGGCCCAGGAGGCAGCTCCCAAAGCAGGGGGTGAGAGGCCCATGCCCAGAGGCATGCAAGCAGACCATGAAGAGAGGCTTGCCCTTGGGGAGGCTTAGCTCTTGTGGCCTGGGAGGTTGTCCCCAGATTCCCAGTGGTGGGGCAAGAAGATAAGAGGGTGTCTGCCATTCACACTCTGGGGGTCCAGGTTCACGCCACTTTGCACACAGATGGGTGTGAGCAAAGCTTCACGCAGACCCAGACACACCCAGACTCATGCACGTGCACACACACACACTTGTAAATACCCCTCAGAGGCACCGATGTCTTACCAGCAGCCAGTGGCCTGGACAGCTTGGACAGAGGGCGCTCACGCTCTGTGTCAGACAGGTGCCAATGTGGACGCACGCACGCGCACACAAGCTCTCTTGGCCACTGGACCCAGGCGTGGCAAGCCCATGGAGCAGGGCCACCCTCCTGCCCTGGGGGAGCCGGGCAGGTAGCGTCCCACTCCTTCCTCTCCAGAGCAGAGTGCAGGGCAGAGAATGAGCTGCTTTGCCTTGCAGGGGGCTCCAGGTCACAGTTCCCTACCCACCCCCTTCTGCCCTCCCTGCCAGGGTCTGAGGCCTACCTATGCCCAGATGTGATAAGGAGATGGCTTTTGGCTCCCCGCCCACTCCAGCCCCTTCCTCCTCCTGGCAACGGGCTCTGCAAACACCCGAATCCCTCCCTGAGTCGGTCCACACCGCCCAGCCCCGGCCACAGGGAAGCAGAGAGCTCCACCCGGCCCCGGGGAAGACAGAAGAGGGTTTAAGAACGAGTCCCGTCCAAACAGATTCGTGACTCAAAGAGAAAAGCCCTCAATGGGGTCCCGGAAATGGGCACCTTCTCCCAACTCAGGCAGAGAAGTAAGCGGCTTTGGGAATTCCTTTTTTGCAACCCCTGAAAGGTTCATTTGTTGATTTAATACGCCTGCTCTGCCCGGGGAGCCGGGAGCCGTGGGCACAGTGTTGACTCAGGAGAACAAAACCTCAGCCCCAAGCAGCTCAGACCCCAGAAAAGGTGCCAGTGGTGAACAAGATCACACAGGGAAATGCAGAAAATGTTAGATGTTGGCAAAAAAAAAAAAAAAGGTGGAAGAGGAAGAGAAGGCAGGGGCTGGGGGACAGGAGCCTGTGGCTTCTCTGTCCCCGAAGGGACCTCCTTCTGCTACTGAGTTTGGTCCCTGAGAACTGTGACCCCATGAATGGGGAGCTGGTACCCTTTTATAAGAGAAGAAATGAAAGCATATAACATGTTGTATCCTGATCACGATCATGAAATGAATTTGGGGTAGAGCGAAACAGGAGGCCTGGCTTTGACCTTGGCCTGCGAGGCACCCAGGAGGGTGTGGTGTTGTGACTCAGGCCTCTGCTGGGCTCTCACTTTCCAGAAGTCTCAGAGCTCAGGGCCACTGAAGAGGGTCAGACTGGTCTGCACACAGTCCTGCAGGAGCTCAGTAGCCCTTGCTTTTTCATTAGCATAAATGAATATTAATGCAGCTTATTAGCATGAATGCTCATCAGAGTCTGGCTTCTCTGGGAAGTTGCAGCAAGAAAATGACGTCATCGTTTAGAACAGAAATGCAGAACCGGTGCCTCTGAACCACACACGTTGCTTAGCAAGTTTTTGGATTAGGAGCTGTTTTTTTTAAGATTTTCTATTTATTTGAGAAAGAGCGTGTGCATGCACGAGAGCGAGTGAGAGAGAGGGCACCAGTGGTGCAGAGGGAAGGGGTGAAGGGAGGGGCAGGAGAAAAGCAGACTCCCCACTGAGCAGAGAGCTGGGCAGGGGGCTCGATCCCAGGACCCCAGGATCATGACCTGAACCAAAGGCAGACGCTTAACCAACTGAGCCACCCAGGCACCTGGACTAGTAGTGAACTCTAATGTCGGAGAGAGCTTTCCCCCATCTGGGGTTCCAGGCTGTTCTCTGGCCACCCTGGTCTGCAGTCCTTCCTGGCCTGACTGGGGCATCTCCCTTCCATGTCCTCAGACCCCAAACCAGCTTTGCCCACTTCTGCTACCCTCCCGCCCCTGCGGCGGCAACTCCAGTGCGGCCTGAACTTCTCACTTCTCAGACGCACAGCCTGAGGCCCGGAGACAGGGGCTGCCTCGCCCAGAGTCACAGGGCAGGGTACAGATCCCGCCGACCCCACAACCAACACGGGGTCAGGCGATGGGCAACTTCCTGCCACTACATCTTTCTCAGTCGTGGCCCGATCTCACCCCTTTCTTCTCTTTCTGGCTTTTCCCTCCAAGTCAAGCCGTCCCCGCCTTTCAATGTGACCGTGACCTTCTCAGGACATTATAACATCTCCTGGAGCTCCAGCTACGATTCCTACGCGCTGAAGGGCAAGCTGCAGTACGAGCTGAGATACAGGAAGCTGGGAGGACCCTGGGCCCCGGTGAGGCTCCCAGAGACCAGGGGCGGGGCGGCGGGGCACCACGTGGAGAACATGGCAGGGTGGGATGCTGGGGGTGGGGAGGGGGATCCGAGAGACAGGTGAGCGACTGACTCACAGCCAAGACTGGAACCAACAACCACCGAGGCTGGAAGGTCCCCCTTCCACCCTCCCGCCCCGTGCTGCCTCTCCTCATTTCTCCCTGGGGTGGGAGGCCACTCAAAATTCTGTCCTTCCTGCCCCTGGTTCCTGGGTCGGGTTTCCTCCCGGAGTCTAGTACATCACAGCAGAGGACATTCCAGAGATGGGGCCTTCTGGAGCCTTCCCGCCTGGCTGAGGATGAAGTTTTAATCACCAAGGGAGTCCAGTGTTAGACCATTGTTTCCAAGGTGCAGGCTTCTAGAGCTATCCTCGTTTAGAGCACTGGAGAGTTCCCAAAGGGCCCACTATTCAGAACAGTCAAGGCTGAAGCCTTCTAGAATGATCCAGTCCTTTAGAGCAGACCCCGTTGAGGAATTCCGTACATGCGGTTGTTTGGAATGTCCACCGGGGAAGGCTTCCAGAGGTTATCTGTTGCTGAGATGCCTGTGGTCGAAAGCTTCCAGAAATGCCCGCTCTGGAGAAGTCTGACTGTGGAACAATTCCGAAAGGGACCACTGTCTGGAACGCTGCTGGTTAGAGATTCCCATCCAACAGGCCATTGCTACTCCTGGGCCCGTCCTGGTCCTCGAAGGGAGGGCCCCCTGCCAGGACCATGAGGGGAGATCTGGGGTCAGAGAGAGACCAGGTCAAGGTCAAGCCGAGCCTGGTCTTGTGGCAGGAGCGGGGACTTTGCTGGAGACACTCAGCCCCTTTCGTGGTGGCGGGTACAGGGGGCTTCTGCTGGAGGCCGGGGCTGGCCTCAGTGAGCCTGATCGGTGCCACCTTTCCCTGTGTCAGCAGCGTCCAAGGATCAAGCTGATCTCGGTGGACTCGAGAAGCGTCTCTCTCCATCCCTCGGAGTTCCTGAGCGACTCGAGCTATGAGCTGCAGGTGCGCGCAGGGCCCCAGCCCGGCTCCTCCTTCCAGGGGACCTGGAGCGAGTGGAGTGACCCGGTCACCTTTCACACCCAGCCGGGGGAAGGTAGGTGTGGCTCCTCGTGGGGCATTCAGTGTTCCCAATACTGCCTGGGGATTGTTACCTCCCTTCTGCAGATGGGAACACGGAGGTCCAGAGAGATGAAGTCGCTGGCTTGGGGTTCAGGGGGGTGGGGGTGCGGGGAGTAGGATCCCAGACCACCTCACTTGCAGGCCCCCGCGGCCCTCCTGTGCCCTCCACACCAGCACAGACACGTTGCCCACCACACCCGCCCCACGGGGCCTCTGGGAGAGGTGGGTTCCCCCTTCACCCTGTGTCTGCTTCCTTCGCAGAGATCAAGGGAGGCTGGCACCCTTCCTTGCTCTACATCCTCCTGGTCGTCATACTCCCCATCCTCGTCTTCTTAGGCCTGAAGATCCACCTGCCTTGGAGGTGAGGCCAGGGATTCGGGGAGGCGGGGGTGGGGGACGGGGGAGTCCTGGGCCACAGGCTGTCATCGCGACCGTGGCAGTGACAGGGATGGTGATAAGAACAAGCTCTTGTTTCCTGGGCACTGGGCAGCGCGCCCGCCTCTCCACACCCGCCGTGGGAGCGGGCCCTTGGATGCCTACCACCCCTGGACAAATGGGGCAAGCAAGGAGGCACAGAGCTGGCAACGCACTTGCCCAAAGCCGCCCTGCTCTGAAGTGGAGGAAGTGCCCCTGTGCTCTAACAGTGACCCAGGCCATGACCTTGTCGGTGGCGTTTATGCTTTGAATCCTTCGGGGGGGCGGGGAGCACGCTGGGCCGCCAGGTGGGGGTGAAGACTGGATATGATAACCCGCCCTCCTTTCTTCTGCTCCGACCAGAGCTTTTACTTTTACTTTTATCCGTTTATGTGTTGGGTTCCGTCTTCAGGAGAGCTGCTGGCGGAGGCAGGGGCTGTGGTCAGGGTTTGCTGAACCCCGGGGTGCAGATTCTGGGTGGCTGTGGTCAGAGTTTGCTGAACCCCGGGGTGCAGATTCTGGGTGGCTGTGGTCAGAGTTTGCTGAACCCTGGGGTGCAGATTCTGGGTGTGCGTCTGTACCCAGAGGCTTTGCCGGAGTCAGAGGCAGTGAAGCTGGAGGGGGAGGGAGCGCTGTTTGGGTGCTGGGTGCTGGGGTGCTGGGTCACTGTGTGGACACCCTCCGAGTGCTCCCCGCACGCCCGTGAACCGGCCCTTTGCTTATCCCTGGTGGTAGAGGAGGGGTGAGGGGCAGCATTTGCCCGGCTCGGAACAGCCTCCGAACAGGCAGCCGAACTCTTAAACTCCAGGCACTTTCGCCAGACTTGCTGCCCCCATTTTACAGATGTGGAAATTGAGGCCCGGGGGCAGAGGGGCCGAAGGGGGGTGCGTGGGTGTGCTTTGGGAGGGGCTCAGTCTCCTGCAGGACAAAGCCGGGGAGCCCCTGAGCGGGAGGCTGGGCTACCCTCTGGGGGATGGTTGAGGGCTCACCTCGTCTCTGTTCTCCCAGGCTGTGGAAGAAGGTGTGGGGGCATGTGCCCAACCCACAGAAGTTCTTCCAGCCCCTATATGTGGGCCACAGTGGAGACTTCAAGGTGAGTGCCCTCCAGCCCATGACAATGCCCCCCAGCCTCTTCTCCTCTGGGAGCTCACCTCTGCCTGAACCCCAGGAACCCTCCACCTGCCAACCAGGCTCCGGGCTCCTCAATGGCAAAGTGCAGGAAATAATTCGGGTGGGGCAGAACTGGTACGAGAACAGACACAAAATCAGGCAGCCTGTCCCAACCCCTGGGCCAGGCTGGGGGGAGGGACGAGCCAGGTTGCTTGAGTTGAAAATTGGCCTCCTGCTCCTTTGTCAGAGGTCCTTGAGATGGAGAGTGGGTTCCGGGAAGGGCGTGGCCCCACCGGCAGAACACACCAGCCCCCCAACCCCCCCACACCCCCACCAGGCCCCAACCACTCGTCACCCGCCAGCGCCCACGGTTGTCTGTGCCCATTTACCGCTCAACACCTACCCCGCGGGGGAGGGCAGACCACAGAGAGGATGTGGTGACTGGCGGGGAGGCGGGGGGGGGGAGGAACCCACCCCCTCCAGTGGAGCCTGGATGTCAGGAAACCTGGACCAGAGCATTGGCTGAGCTCCTGCTGTCTGCCTGGTGCTGCCCTGAGCTCCTTCCGTCTTGATCGCGGCCCCTGGGGGCGGGGGTGGGGGAGCGCTCCATGGTCCATAGGGCACCCCTGGGGAGACCGAGGCTCTGCGTGGGGAAGCGGCTTTTGTGAGGCAGGGGAGCAGCTCGAACCCCCAGCCTCACGGAGAGGAGACCTTCCTTCTTCCTCTGCACCTTCCCTGAAGCTCAGAGGCCACACCTGTTTGGTATTTACTCACCTGGGCTGCACCTGTGTGCCAGGCCCTAGGCTGGGAGCTCCAGAGATGTGAATGCATCCCCTCCTCGCACAGCTGTGGGCGGGGAGGGGGGGGTGGTGGACAGGGAGGTCGTTACTGGCAGATGGAGAGGCCTCACCCGGGTCCCAAGATGTTTTCTGAGGCAGCAGTCTCACAACTGGGGGACTCAGGTTCTCGGGGGTTTTTACCATCATTCGGGTGGGGACCCTGTGTCATGTGTGGGACCCCAGGCCAGCGAGGGCGGGGGCGGGGATTGTGCTCAAAGCTTGGGGCGGGGCGCTGCCTCGGTCCATGGTCACCCCACATCCAGAGGCCTTTCCAAGCGGCTTGCCACTGATTCCCCCTGCGTGTTCATTTAGTTAATACACATTTATTGGGCACCGACTGTATGTGAGGCACTGTGTGAACCTCCGGGGATACAGCTGGGACCAGAAGAACTGAGGCCTCTGCCCTGGCCGAGTGTCCACTCCAGCGGGGACACCAACAGGAGAATGCTTGTTTCCTAGAAGCATCGACTTCTGTCACTCCCGTCCGCATTGTCCATACAACTCAGCAGTCTCCCCAGGCCCTATGCAGACCCCAGGCCTCTGAGCACTGGTTGTCTGGCAGGCTGCTAAGGGCAGTGGCTCCCTCCTGCAGGTGGGGAAACTGAGGCCCAGGAAGGAAGGGACAGCAGTGCGGAGCGTCCCTGGATAGGGGTACACCATGGCTCTGACCCCTGGTGTCCTGTATCCTCTTGTGTCTCTTTCTCTTGATATCTCTGTCTTGTCTCTATGTCTGTCTGTCCATACCTGCCTTGCCCCTGTCCTGTCATGACTGTCTCCCTCTTCTCTCTCTTTACAGAAATGGGTGGGCGCCCCCTTCACTGCCTCCAGCCTGGAGCTGGGACCCCGGAGCCCCGAGGTGCTTTCGTCCCTGGCGATGTACAACCATTGCCCGCCGCAGAGCAGCACCAAGGGGCCGCAGTCCATGCAGCTGCCTGAGCCTCCCCACCTGGTGGGAGCTGACGGGGTGCCTGAGCCAGGCTCCTGGGGCCAGGCCCGCTCCCCTATCGGCAGCGTGGGTGGCTCGGCTTACAGCCAGGAGAGGGACCGACCATATGGTGTGCTGGTGTCCATTAACACCGTGACAGTAGCAGACATGGAGGGCCCGTGTGCCTGGTCCTGCACCTGTGGGGATGACGGATACCCGGCCCTGAACTTGGACGCCAGCCTGGAGCCCGGCTCAGGCACTGAGGACCCCCTCCTGGACCCCGGGACTACAGTCCTCTCCTGTGGCTGCGTCTCGGCAGGTGGCCTTGCCGGGCCAGGAGGGCCTATGGGCAGCCTCCTGGACAGGCTAAAGCTGCCCCTTGATGAGGAGGCGGGCTGGACCCCAGGGCCACTGTGGAGTGGCGGGCCCCCCAGAGAGGCATCTGACAGCGAAGCAGGCTCGCCTCCCGCCGGCCTGGACATGGACACTTTCGACAGTGGCTTCGCGGGCTCTGACTGCGGCAGCCCTGTGGAGTGTGACTTCACCAGCCCCAGGGACGAAGGCCCCCCCCCGGAGCTACCTCCGCCAGTGGGTGGTCATGGCGCCTCCGCCCGAGGGACCCGGGCCCCAGGCCAGCCAGTGAGGCTGACCCGCAGTCCGGAGCTGGCCGAGCCGTTCCTCCTGGAGTCAGAGCTGTGCTCACCTGGGCCGTGGGGTGAAGGGGCCTGCGACCTTTGTGCCCCCAGATGAGGCCCCTGAGCCTGGTTGACACCTGGTGTGCCTGTGTGATCCCGGAGCACACGGGTGTGTCCGTGTGCGTGAGCTGCACACATGCCCATGGGCGCAGAGACGAGACGCATGTGTGTCTGGGACCGTGTGCACACCATGACAGCCGTGGACTATTCCCGACGTGGGGAGGCCCCGGGGTCATGAGGGGCTGGTTCAGTGTCATCCATGGGGCCTGCTAGCATCAGTCCCCGCCCTGCAGGTCCTGCTTCCAGGAGCCGTGAGAAGTCCCCAGGGGTCCTTTTCACTTCTCAGGGGAAGGGGATGGAGTGAGTCTGCGGTGACCCTGGGTGTGTGAAGGTTTGTGGGGGCCTGTGGACCGAGGTCTGAATCCCAACTGTGATGCCCCTGGGCTGTACCACCTTGGGCAAGCCCCTTCCCCTCTCTGGGCTGGAGTTTCCTGTCTGGACAAGGTGGGGTGGGGAGGGGCACGGGGAGCATGACCCATTTTGGGGAGAAATTGGTGAGGTCACCCACTGTACAGGCTGGGACCAAGCAGACCGTCAATAAATTCAGCTTCCTTCCTTCTGGGGCCCAGACCAAGGCTCGTGCGTGCCGGCAGTGGGCGGCGGTGAGAAAGCAGCCACAGCTCTGGCACTTGGGGTGGGGGTGGGCAGGGGTGGAGGGTGTGTTCCAGGCTTGAAGTCAGCCTGTCCCTTAGAAACCTCCCCCACCAGCCAAGATTTCCTTTGCTGGCTCCTGCAAAGGAGCCACTTAGTTATTCCCGCTGTGCTCCCAAGAAATATTTATCGGGCACAAGGACACGTGCCAGGTTCTGGGGTACGCAGGCCGGGGGGGGGGAAGGTGGGGTAGGGGAGGGGAATGGGGAGGGGAGACCTCCTTTGGCACTCATGGCGGGGGAGGGGCAGGCAGGAATCTGCAGTGGGATCTTATCTGCTCACCCCTGAGAATCGGGGAAGTCAAGGTCTTGTTGATTTCTGAGACAGCCCCTTCAATTGTGAATTGAGAAACTCAGAAAATCCCGTTGTGTTTGAAGGCAGGCACCTTACCCATCGTCAGTGCCACAGACTGCTTGCAGCTCAGGTTTTTAAAAAACCAAAACAAAGCCCAACACAGCAAACAAGACCTCGGGTTGTTTTCCCAGTCGGGGCGATCACCTTTAGAGACATCTTTTTCGAGGCCACCGAGCAGGATTAGGGAGGCTGAGAGTCTGATTCAGCCGGTCTGGCTCTCAGAGCCCCAGGGACACTCCCACCCCGGCCTGGAGCTGTCCGGCCCTGTCGGAGGCCCAGCTGAATGAGAAAGCTCTGGTTTTTCTCTCCTCTTGGCTGAGTCTGAGCTCCCAGGTGGTGCAAGTCAGTCCTGCACAAAGCCTCACTGTGACTCATCTGTAAAATGGCATGGTTTCAGGAAGACCCCTAGGGAGTCTTTGGTAAGGAAAGTTCTAGAATATGGATGATTTCAACTGTGGCACTGTTGACCTGGGATTGAAGTGAGGCTCAGTTGGGAGCTAGAGCTTGACACCAGAGCTCCTGCACAAGTGAGCAGCCCTCACCATCCCCCCCCCCGCCACTGTCACCCCCACCCCCCTCCCACCCCCCTCCCGCCCCCCTGCCCGGGAGGCTTGGGCCAAGGTGTGCTGTGGTTTTCACATCCTCCTGGGGGCAGTGGGTTCCAGGGGCCACCTGAGCCGCTGGCTCCTGGGGGGAGGCAGCTCGACTCTGCAGCACACAGAGCTCTGGGGCTGGGGTGGCGGGGTTGGCAGGGCAAGAGGCCAGGGGTGGGGCTTGGTCAAGGGCTCTGGCCTGGGCCAGACATGGCTCTTCACCACCTCTGTCTCTGGAGGGGACTCAGCCTGTAAGCAGGCTGCACAGCGGAGGCAGGAGCCAGCCCTCCTGGGAGGGTGGATTAGCAGGAGCCGGGTGGCTGGACGACAGAGGGACGGGTGGCTACCTTGATGGGTGGATGGACGGACGGAGGAAGGGATGGTGAAAGGCTTCAGGGAAGAACGTTGCTGGACAGGTAGCAACACAGCTAGAGACCCAGCTCATAAGTCGAATATAAGCTACACGAGGGCAACAACTTCCTCTAGTTTGTTCCCAGCCCTACCTCCATCCGGGCACACAGGCACTCGAAAAAGCCCGATTTGCAGTGCATTGTGTGTGCTTTACTTCCACCGTGAAGACGCTTCCTCGTGGCCGATTTCAAGATACCAACCGGACAACCTGAAGTGGGATTGGGAAGAGAGGTACGTCATCGAGACCCTCCTAGGTGGTGGGAACCAGCCTCAGCACACCACTGACGGGAGTCCTAGGGCACTGGGAGGGGCTGGAGGGCCTCAGGGAGGAGGTGGTGTTTGTTGGACTTTGAAAAAATGAATAGGAGTTGTTAGATGTTTGTTTCTTCCAGCGAGAGTAAGGGCCAGGAGGGGTGACAGAGCCCTGAGTACCTGCAAGTGGGGAAGGTGGCCCCTGGTCACCCAGAGTCCAGGCCACAGTTGCTAATGACTCTGGTAAGAGAGTCCGGAGGATTGATAGCAATACCCCGTGCACAGAAACCACCTTCCCCTTCTGGGCCAGACTTTTTCCATCTGCAGGGTCAGAGAGGGCAGGGATGTCCATCTGACAAATGAAGTGAAGGTGCACAAGGGGCCAGGGGCTCGCTTGCCTGAGGTCGCACACTGAATTAAAGGTCACAGTCAGAACTTGAACTCTAGTCTCCTGATGCTAAATGCAGCTCTTCCTCCCCTTGCTCTGCTGGGAGGGACTTAGGTCAAGAGGGAACAAACCCTTAGCAAGCACCTGTGAAGTGCCTGTTGCTTTGTCCTCGTGGGGCAGCTGACCCCAGCTCTGGGAGTGGCGACAGAGCATTCCATGCCCCACCCCTGCCAAGCCACACTACGGGTTCTGGGACATATATGGGACCCAAACCAGTCCATGTGATATTTCTGCTGGGACTGTCGAGTGGTAGGGTTGGACTGAAGCCTGGGGCTGTGGGGTGAGGCCAGCACACAAGAAAGCAGACCTGGGATTGGAGATAGATTCCTGGTAATATCTCCTGAGCTCCTGGATCCAACCATGCCTGAAACCCCATCCTCATGGACTTTGGAGGTACACGAGTGTGGAAGTCATTATGTCCCCCTGGTATGAATCACATGGCCAGGACTGGGCAGGGAGTTACAACTCTGCTTACAAGCAGAAGTGTTAAGTCTCGCTTTTGGACCACAGCATGTACATGACAATTGTGATGCTCTCCCCGAGTGTTGATCCTTTCTGCCACTGTGAGCTGAGACAAATGAGCTGGTGGCTGCTCTATCAGGCTGGGCCCCTGTGTGAGGAGATGCGGAGAGAAGAGCCTCCAACTTACCCAAGATGGACATGTGTCATGAGCAAGAAATAGATCCCAGTTGTACCCCATTGAGATCTGGGGGCTGTGCGTTAGCACCGCCTAACCCAGCCTGGCCCAACTGGGCTGAGGAGCTGGGAGGTTCCCCGTCTTGCTTAAGTGGGTCCGCGATGGGTTTGTGTCACTTGCGGTGGGAAGTGTCCTAGCATAACGAGGACTCTCCTCCCAACCTGAGGAAGGACTAACTACATTCAAAGGGGCCAGAGGACCAGGCTCCATCCCTTCTCACCGAAGACTTGGGCAGCCGCGGGCTGTCTCTGAGCCTCAGTTTCGTCTTCATAAAGCAGGGGCAGCCATCTCAGCTTGCTGGGATGACCTCCAGGTCTGGGAGGAACGGCTCCACTGGGATGAGACCCACACAAAAGAAAGCAGAGCTGGGTGTCTTCCTTTAGGCTCCCTGTTGGAGGGGAACACTCTTCCCCCTTCTCTACTTGGGACTTGGTCTGGGGACGGGCCGTTGGCATCATGTGGGACACATCCCAACTGCGGCTGCCTGGACGCGCCATCAGAGAGCCAGGGACAGGAAAGAGAGCAGCGAGCACATATGTGCACTTGGCTCCCAGAAGCCCACCAGACCTCCCAAAAGCCCATCGGACTTCCTAGAGAACAGGAGGGAGAAGTACACGTTCTCAACAGGGAGGAGATGGAACAGAGGCTGCCCGCGGTCACGAAACATCAAGCCACAAAAGGGAAACAAGAAGAGCCAGGTCTTTGCTCAGACGTCACCTTCTCAGCAGGACCTCCCCTGGGCACCCCCCTACTTAGTAGTTTCTTCCCCCTGTAACATTTATTAAGCTCTAACCTAGGTCTTTTACTGATTAGTCGTGCTTACTGTCGACCCCGCTAGCACGGGGGGTTTTGTCTGTTTTATCCACCACTGGTCTCAGAGCCCAGAATGGTGCCTGGCCCGCTGCAGGTGCTCAGCGAATGCTGGACGCAGGGATGACTGTGTGGATCAATCTGGTAACGGCAGAGCAGCGGCTGGCAAGGCAGTGGGCAGAGAGGACGCAAGGGACTGAGCCCAGGAGGGAGCCACCTGCCCTGGACCCGGAGATGCCACAGAACGGGACAGGGAGACGAGGACATGGGCCTCTTGTGAAGTCTGTAAATGGGGCAAGAGACCCTCTCCCTTTGCTCACCCCAGGGGGCAGCGACGGGTCTTTCCCCCCATCCCTAGGGGGTCACAGATCTGACAGACGGTTTTTCTTTGAACATTGGTGGCCCCAGAGGGAAAAAACCTCATTCTGCATTTTAGGGGGGTCTCCTGGAATAAGGTCAGCTGCTCACCCCGAAGCAAACCCAGCCTCTGGCAAGCGGCGTGGAGAGGGACGGCTTTGAGGCAGGACGGCTTTGAGGCAGCACGGCCCAAGCTGGCCCGCCAGCAGATCCGCCCACTAGCTACCAATCTGCAGAAGCTCTTTTCTCTCTCTGTGCCTCAGTTTCTTTGGACACCAAATGGCATCATGAGGGCCTGTACCTCTTTCTGAGGCTGCTATGAGTTGATCTGTGTCGAGTGCCAAGGATGGTGTCCGGCAAGCGGCAAATGCTCAGGAAGTGTTGTTTCATC